CACTGTCTGATTGCCTATAATATTTCTAGCTAATATTTCTGTTTACTCAGTTGCCTACAGAAATCTCACAGATTGTATGATATATCATCAAGGAAATGTGGTACTTCTAGAATACTGCATGAAAGCAAATATCACGAAGAACCACGTGTGTATAGACTGGTACTGGTAAAGGTCAGAGCAGCCTCTAAGACAAATTCTGTACTTTTCTTCCAGTGAAGATGCCTTGAAAAAGCAGTGTTAGTAAGGAGAGACATGAAACCAAGAAATTTCTGAGGGACATTTCCTGCAGCCTCAGGATACACTGTGTATTTGGGGAGGATACTAGGACCTACTACTGTGCCTGTTAGAATGCACTGTGTTAATAAGTTCAGCTCTCCCCAAACAGAAACCCTCCCAAGTGGGTGTCACCTATGCAAACACATACTTCCTCTTGGCTACCTTGCAGAGGGCACTGACTAAGCCCCAAGTGTTCTTTTCTCCTGCCACTATGTTCTGGTCAAAGTCATAGCCAAACTCCGAGGGCCCAGCTTGTGGGGCTTCCTTCAGTACGAGTTGTGTACTCCCTCTTCCACCTTTGGTCCTAGGCTGTCTTTTGTGAATGTCTGCAGTGATCTCTATCTCCCATCCACAGGAAGCCCCCTGGGAGGGAGTCCCTGATGCACTGCTAAAAGTGGTTTATTAACATGAATAAATGAAAGAAAGAAAGAATGAATGAATAATGTAAAATACAAGATCTTTAAATGAAATCAGTCTGGGTTTCACATTGTGGCTGGGGCACTGACCCATAGTGTGGCCCAGGAAACTTTTAGAGTTTTTCATCCCATTCTTCCAATTTTAGGTTGGCACAGTCTTAACATGCACTAGTCATTCAACCTTATAAGAGCCTTGTAAAGCTACCCACAGTTCTTAGAAATAGGGCCAAAAATATCAACTCCTTCCCTTTTTAAGCAGTGAAAAAGAGGTTAAGAAGAGATATTTATGAAGCAACACTTGAAGAAAGATAAACAGATTGCTCCCAGGTAAAAGGTCACATTTTGTTAGTTTAACATAGATATTTCAGTGATATCTTATATTTTTTTCCTCCAGGAAGGTAGTAAAACAACACTGCAACAGATCTCACTGTGCAGGACACTCACTCACTGGCTCAAAAAAAGCCTTTTCTTCCCCTGTTCCTCTTCCTCAGCAAAGGCTAACAGTGTATCTCAGATCCTAATTCATTGTCCTTTTGGTGTCCATTCTAACTAGTCATGGGAAATGCCAAACTCATGGATTTTTTTCTTATCTTTGACTTGGATATGTAGGTTGACTTTAATCCTCTCTTGTCTTTTTATTCTTTTTATTTCCAGAATCAACTGAATGTGAAAATTTTCATCACTTATTTCTCTTCTTTGCTTTTCAGATGGAGATACTGAACTGATAGTATCTCAGGACCAGCTCTCCTTTACCCGAAGATCAGACAGCATGGTACACATAAGCTGCAAGCTTTCTGGGGTTCCCCTCCAGAATGTCATTGTGCACTGGTATCAACTGAAAGAAGGGGCACCTCTGTAAAGGATCCTTTATGGATCAGCCAAGAATTACAACCAAGACCAACCCAACTCCTGAGTGGAGGCAAATGAGACAGACAACAGTGTATTGTACCTGATCATCAATAATGCTGTCCCATCAGATGAAGCCACGTACTACTACGCCTGCTGGGATTCACAGTCACAAAGGCAGAGGAGACCTGTAGGAAAACCTTCCAGTTCTTGTGCCCCTGTTGAGTTCATGCATCCAGAATGACTCTCCAGTGTGCTTATTCATAGGTTCACAGGGATCAGAACTCGGAGTGTTGAGACATGTTTAACCCAATGCCACACTTCAGCTGATCAAGGTGGGGCCCAAAGAGGGCAAGGGACTTGTCCTGAGCTAGTTATCTGCAGAAGTGAGGCTACACACTTACATTTCAGAATTTTAGTACAGGGCCTCTTCTTGTCTCTCTTGTGGTCAGTGCTAAGCAACACTGGTTTTCTCACAACATTAGTTTTCCTTCAAAAGGTAGTTGTGTGACAACTACCTTCTGTGTTTACAAGTGATACTCCAGACATCAACCAGGTCTTATGCAGTGAAGTGCGTGACAACTACATTGTTAAGAAAGGAATGAAATGTACCAGAAGATGGACTCCATGCTCCATGCACTCTGTGCTGCTTTCCCAGAGCTACTTACTACTTTCATTTCTGTGGCTTTCTTTCTGTTTTAAAACTCCAGTGCTGGAAATTTTTTTAGCCTCTATGAACCAGAAAGGCTTGTGTAGGTAGAGATTGACTTCTTCATAAATATGTGTATAAATTATTTGCCAGTTCCAGAGGGACCTACTGACCCAAGGTCCAGATCTTTTGGTTTTCAATGACACCAGGTGTTTACTGGATGGCCTTATACTTCAGTCAGATTTAGGTGCATCCACCTACTTTCTGCCTTGTTAGAGTGGTCCAGGATTTATCCTCATACATTATGTAAGAGAAAGAGAAATCTACAGGTGATCTACTTTTAAGATGAAATATGTAACTCTGAGTGGAAAATTACTGGCAGCTTTCTGACTGCCTGACATCACACATGCATTTGGAGGGTCACTGGGCAGAGGAGACCTTAAGGGAAAGATAAAAATAGTAAGTAAGAGCACACTTGTACCAGGTAACATCAAAGCACATTGTAACACAATGTTGGCCAGAGTAGAGAAAGGGAGATGAAAAGCATATTCCTCTAGCTAAAGCTAAGGAGAAACATAGTAATATAATTGCGAGGTCACATGAAGTCACTACACAGGACCATCTGCTACTCAGAAAGTCCCAGAATAAAGAACAGACAGCAGTATGAAGAAATTCAAACTCGAATTGGGAGAGGAACTGGGGAAAAATCTTACAAAGAGATGCTGAAACATCACAGCACATCTAAGGAAAGACTGCACCTCCTCTAGTACTCAGCCAGTGAGGAACAGGGGAAAGTGAAAATAGCCTGATGTGACTGCTGTGCATGTGCTTGTCCTTCAGATACCTCCACCTGCAATACTGAAATTGCACTTAAGCTTTGCGTTGGCTGTTCCTCCTGCCTCTAAAGCCCATTCTTTGGCTCTGGACAAGTGAACGCATTTCTCACAAACATCTCCCTAGGCACTCCCTGAAAATAACAAGGACAACAGGTGCAGCAAAATCTGGCTCCTTATACCTAAATATTTCTCTTTTGGGATGTCTAATAAGTGGGCAGAATAAAATTACTGATTACAGTATCACACCTTTACCCGCAACTGCAGAAAATGTAATAAAGTGACCCTTAAACTTTCTTATCTCAGTAAGAAGTATTGTAGTTATCATATGTCATAAAGATGGAGGTGTTTGGTTAAGTGCATAGTTTTTAGTTTTTGTTTTCTACTTTCCACATATTCTGCATTTCTGGAAATAATAGGCACAGACTTGAGAAAACCAAAGTATTCTTAATTTTTTTCTCTGATAGGAGTTCTATCAGAAGGTGACAAGACTTCGAGATCTGTGCTTTTATGTGCTAGAAAGTAAAGCACAAATAAGATCAAATCCTATGGGCATCATCCAAGATTGCAATTGGCTGTCAAGACAGAGCCCAGATCAGAACTCTAGGGATCCATGGCAGAAAAGGCTTCTCCCCTGACTCTACATTCCATCTGTTAACATGGACAGGTACAGAATAATAGGCAACCCACAACAACAATAGCTACCAAATTACAACTCTAAAGTGCGGGGCTCAAACTCTATAGACACTATAATCTTGGCATAACTCAAATAGGAATGAAAATAATTGGATTTGGGGTTAAACTAGACCATGTCTCACAGCCTATTGCTAGCGATTGAATTGTGGTGGTGCTTTTTACAAGAATTAAGAATTATTTAAATTCTGAGTAATAGTGAGCAGAGTATTCACCATAATAAACCATAAACATTATTATTTTCACTGATTAAATAAGACTGTACTGATAAAAAATTGAATTGTAACTGCAGATTAAAGAAGTTGAAGAACAACAATCTTTCCAAGCAAGCTCTGGCTCAACCTTAAAATTAAATTTATTAGTTGAAAGGCTTTAAATTTTTGCAGGATATTTTATTTTTTAAATGACTTATTAAATTTATTTTAAAACTGATATATACAAATAAAAACTATAGCTGTGTGGTGCCATGCTGTCTTGATAGTAAACAGGATATGATGGTTGTGTGTGTGTATGGAGTGGACCTGGGGGACATCAGGAATGACTGTCTTTCGTCGTTACAGCTTGGGTCCTTTATCTGCACTCAGGGAAGGATTGGTTGATTCTGGCAATTTCTTCCTACTACCTACCTTCCTTCTCCCCCATCAGAGGAGCAGTGTAAGATCACAGAATTGCCTCTAGTAGGCTTCTTCTTTCAACATATTTTAGAGCTAGGATTATTTTTTATACTCTAAATAATAATTGATCACAGCACTGATTTTCTCATTTTGCTTGGCCTCAAAAATGAATTATGATCCTAACTGGGTAAATGTGGATGTATTCAAAGGGGAGACCTTGGTTCACATTTCTCCCAAGTGTTGGCATATTTTCAGTTGCTAAAGTGCGATCTCCTTTCAGAAACTTATTCCCAAATAGCTAAGGCAAAGTCTTGGTGCATGTGAAAATAAAAGGCCTGGTTTTTGATGCATTCTCTGACCAGTTTCAACACAACTGAACACCTGGAAATCTTTTAAAAAGGGAAAGAGAGAGAGAAAGACAGACTTAATTCTCAGAAAACTTTTGTTAGTCACGTAGAGGAAATATGGCTGGTAAACCAGTTAGCCCAGCTCTGTGGTATTTCTGCTCTTATCTTTGCCACTTTCTTAGAGTTATTCAGTGGTCACTGCCACAGCACAAATGGATAGCTTTTGAGGTCAGTTTATGGAAAAGTGTACAAACTCTCAGACATCATAAAATCTGCATTTAAGGACTTTCAAAGGAACTCAGCAGATTGAACTGGCAGGATGAAATTGTTAAACTGCGGGTCATGTCACAAAGCTTTGGCAAAAGCTATGATTTTTGTAGAGGTTGTGACAATTGTGGTAGCTCAGGTTGGATCAAGATATTTGGAGAAGGGACTAAACTCACTGTATCTCCCCCTGGTAAGTAACTTTTCTGATTTTTTTAACCTTCGTTATGAAAAATAAAAAGGTACGCCTTTTTTTGGAAAGAACTACAATTGTAACAAAATTTATCTCTGCCATATTCTTGGCCTAAATATTGGAACAGTGATTTTCCAGGTACCAGCAACTGGATATGGAAACGGAGCTACTTTGTAAGTGACTTCTTCCTTTTTCGGTCAGCAAGAAAACTGAAATTCTATGTTTAGAATGCACAAACAGGCAAAGACAGACAGAGGGCTAGAAAAAAATATGTTCCATATCATTTATGTAGACCACTGGTATGAGTTATCGCTTTACTAGCCTTTTTTGTAGAAGGCCTTTATGTGATAGTTTTCAAAACAGTATTTTGTTAAGTGCCTCTTTTCTATATTTTGAGCTGTATTATAGTGCTTCTTTCTGCAAATAATGTACAAAATCCATGTTCTTGATTTTGATCTTGTGTCTAAGAATAGTGGCAAAATTGAATTCTTAAAGGTAAGTTACTATAGCTCATAAATGAAGTCCTCTTTTTATTGCTCAGATATTTGGAGAGTAGGTTGAGAGCAGTCAAACCTTATGGTACTGTGAGCCTGTTTATATTGCCTGGAGAAGGCCCAGTTTAGTGGAATTTGCAAATTCCACAAACCATATCATGCCACAGTCCTATAAAAAATCTTCATGGCTTTAAAGCCTCACTTATTCATTGTCTCACTATTATAGGAAATTTTTCTGCCAGTTGCTGGAGATAAAAGGGGTAGACAAGCCACTGGTAGAAAAACTTGATGAAATGGTCCACTACCACACTGTTCAAGAGAAAAGTAATATTAAAGATTGTTTCTTGAGGCCCAGAAGACATAAAGTTTTAGGCCTGTTTCTTATTATTTCACAGTCTTTTATAAGAAATTCTATTTTCAGGCATGGTCGTGCACACCTGTAACACCAGCACTCCAGGAGTATGAGGCAGGAAGGTCACAAATTAGAGCCCAACCTGGCCAATTTAGAGACTTAAGAAGTCCCTGTATCAAAAAAAAAAAATAATGAAATAAGGGCTGGAGTTATAATTCAGTGCAAAGACCACGTGTTCTGAGTTCAATCCCCAATAATGCAATAAAATAAAATAAAATAAAATAAAATAGAGAAATTCTATTATTTCCATTTCACAGATGAGTTTTACTTGTTAGAAGGTCATTTGTTTATAGAATGTCATGTAAATAGGCATGACTACAAACTTGTGACAAAGTTTGGCATTCAAATGAGATTTGCCTATTCCAAATTTCCTAGTGTGGACCATTATCACCATTAAGTCATGTTTTTATGTTCTTAATATTTTTACTTCTGATGCCTGGTCTTTTCCATGTACTGTTTCATTGATTGATTAATAGTAGCTCATACCTGGTATTATTATTTATGCATGAACACAATACTGCTGCTTCTAATCATGGCACTGAAATTACTTCCCCTGCAATACGATTATAGGTTTCATGTTGAATATGAATTCATTAAATATCAAAATAGGATCCTTAGGGTACTTCTATAAGTGCCAAGTCACTTTAACATCAACTGTGCTCAAGTTCATTTTTGTACTGGAATCAAATTTGCCAGAAAGTCTAAGCTGCTGACGGAACTAGAGCAGTTGTACTAAATTGCAACCCTCACTGACACAACTCAGTGGCCTTAACACCATAATAAATAGCTACAGAAATGGCCATCAGTGAGGACTCTCTGATGTCCAGAGCAGAATTAAAATTCAATGATCTGGATACGGTAATGGAATTTCCAAGTTAAAAGGGAAAAACTTTGAGAGATCATCATGAAAAATTCACATTCTAGAACAATTCAAGTCTACTATCAACGGGATTTGGATTTTAAGAAGCTAATTTACAGTCAACTCAGATACCCATCCTTCTGTATGAATCCCCAAATAACTGTGAGTAATATTGAATATAGGCTTTTTAAATGATCAAATATGTGATTCCTTTCATTGGTTCTCTTTCTAATTGAGTTAATTTTAATTAATTAAATTACATTCTCAGGAAAGAATGACTTTATGCATAAAAACATTTTAAGGGAGGCAATTTAGGAGCTTCTGGCAAATCCTGAGCAAAGATATAATCATTCTACCCAACTTAAATAATAGAAGAGAACAGACATAATCCAAACTACCTGGCAGACTAGGTTCATTCTTAAATACCTGATTACACTCAGATATAATGCAATTTTGTATGAGATTTATCTTTTTTTAAACTGTCAGTGGGACAAATTTTTATGTATTTATCTAAATCATCACAAATTTTTGGCACAATGGGAGACTTTTTAAAAAGGCTTTTCAGAGACTGGGTAAGTGGAAGCACTATGATCAAGGTGGTCCTGGAACAAAGTTTATCCTTACAGGTGAATGTTCTTTCCATCCTGCAAAGTGGGGAGAGGAGGTAGGAATGCAGGTGCTGCAAGCTACAGCACAAGGGTTGGCTGAGAGATCTTGCAATTCTCCTGGTTTGGTCCCTTATTGCAGTGGGATCCATCGAGAACCTACGTGATTTAGTCCAGGTCCTATAAAGTACTATTGTTACTGATCTAGCTTGGGAGATATTAACAAGAGGAGAACCAACTGTATATCCTTGAGAGATGGAAGGGTAAAATTTTATGTTCAAAGGTAAAAGAAAATTTCATTGGAATACATAGTTTTTATTAACTGATTAAAATAAAAAACTAATTTTTATTAACTGATTAAAAGGGACACACCAATTTTTCAAATATGATGTTTTTCCCATTATAAAATTAGAAAAAGGTCTTTAATGCATGAATCCCTCAGAAGAAAAGCCAAGTATACAGTGGACACTGCCTTTAAGATCCATTTTGGGAAATGGAGGAAATGGTCATTAAATAAAACCATTGCACCTCACTGTGGCCTAGTGCTGTGGACCTCCCGACAGTTAACAACATGCACAGATCAGGATCTCAGCACATAGCAACAGGCAGATAGCTCTTACTGACCAACATGGCTTGGAGTACCATGCCTCCTGACATTTCTCTCCTTATTCTGTCTGGAATGGCTAGGCAAGGAATTATAAGCAAGGCTTTAGCATGACCTGATGGAATATAGTTTGAAGTTGAACAGTCTGGTAGGAAGCCTGAATCACTTATGTATGTTGCCTATTGGGAAATCAGCTGTTACTCTGGGGCAGCACAAGTAAAGCCTCTCAATGTCCTGACTCTCATTCCAGCTTCAGCAAGTCTTCTTTGATTGTCTTAATTCACAGATAAGACTGGTGAGGGCCTGCTGAAGTTTGGTGTGTGCAAGAGAGGTTTCCTGTGATGATGTCTTTGAGAATGGTAGTCATATTAGAGCAAAGTAGATGCAAATGGAGAACAGAGGAATGACCTTTACTGCCATAGATTTAGTTGCAATGGCTAATACTGAATTTCTACCAGTAAAGGCAGAGCCAATGAGATTGGTCCGATGAGATTACACTGTCATGTTGGCGTGCACAGAACAACCAAATTACACATAGTTGGCAATGATGATGATGATAATAATAACCTCTTATCCTCTTGGTTATTATGATAAAAACAACTAGTTTTTAAAATGAAATTCTGTTTTATTTTTTATTTTAAAAACTAAAAACTAACAACAATGAAGACAAAATCAAAACAACACAAAAACAACAGAAATGATACATTACCTCAAGACAAAATGATTGAAATTTACAATGGTTGCTAAATTACATTCTATTATCTTCAACGAAGTTGCTCAGTCCATTAGACATAAGAATGTAAGGTTGATCAAACAATCAAAGATAGTAACAAGTAAAAAACAATATAAACAATTTTAAAAAACATTGGAAATGATGCAGAGCTTCACCATACAAAATGGTAGGAGTTCAACAATGGTTCTTATACTGCATATTGTTTTCAGATCAGTTACCAAATTCAAGCGTGTAAAACTGGTCAAGAAAAAATTTTTTAAGAATTGACTGTTCCTTTCCATAAACATCACACATGAGCAATACACCTATTCCAGCTATCCTTACATATACATATAAATTTTGTTTTTCATAAAATAAAATTCTTTGTTCATATTTTATTACATTTTTTCTCACTTCAGTGATGGTGATGTTGAATTAATTTTTATGAACAGCATTGTTTTGAGATTAAATAAAGCGCCAAAAAAAGTTAGTCCTTTTATTTTTTTAGCCATAGAACTTCTTATGAGCAAAACGAACAGGGAACCGAACGCTGGTTTCTACAGAACTCCAGGTTATCAGGGTCCTCTTGGATTTGAAGAACTCAGGAACACTTAACTGGTCTAAGGTTTTTTTTTTATATGGGTCAAATCACTGTGGACTTCTAGCAGGAATATCTTTGGCAGAGGAACAAAAGTTACGGTCACAGGTGGGTATCAATAGAATCCATGTCCTAGGTAATAGACAGAAGGCAAGAAATGACCTTTTCGGAATAATGGTAAGAATGTTGAGGACTAAGAAGGGTTGAAGGAGAATTTTATACAGAAATCTTATGAGGGATTTTAATAACATAGTTATTCCAAAGGAGAACAGGGATAACGTGCAAAAACGCAGATATATTTGGCTTTGTTTATAAGTGAACTCCTATAAAGTTCTAACATACAGTGTATGTTATGATATCATTAAAGTGTCTGAAAGAGTGGGACAATGCTCATTATAACAGGTAAGTCTGTTATAGACTTAGTAGAGTCTACTTCCTTATTTCATGGCCAAGAGTGTTGAGGGAGAGTCTGGGTTTTGCAGGGAGGCAGACCTGGAGATATGACTTCACTAGTTACAGCTTAGTGAAATTGGGGGATTTTTCCTTGGTCTCAATTTCATCCATAAAATGGGGTAACAGTGTAAATCCAGTGAGGTTGTGTGATAAATGAATGTGGTAATGTGAATAAAGTTCTTGGCATATTTTCTGTTTTACATTTTTATTTTTAATTGTTTTATTACAGTAGTGAAAGTGGGAGGGAAGGGATTTTTAAAAAGAGAAAATTGAAGAAAAAAATGGAGATAGAGCTTTTGCAAGTGGGAAGGGGAACATTTTCTAATAAGTTCCCAGGAAATATTCTTCCAATAAAGGATATAAAAGAGTGAATGTGTTCATGAATGTTGGAAACCTTGATTATGAACAACTATAAGTCAAACCCCAGTGTAACATGTGGAGTAAAAACAAGCAAGTTTCCACCAGGATCTGCCACTTCTGGTTTTGGCGAGTGTATTAACCTCTTGAATTTCTTTCCATGGTTATATAATAAGGACTGCATTCATTACCTTGTGACAGATGGGGGTGAAAGGCCACCACAGTGGGCACTTGTTCAATGGCACTTTATCTTCCTATTGCTGTGCATGAGGTTGTTTCAAAACATTCAGTACTTCTGCTATTCTAGTAACTCTGTTTACTGATATTCTATTTCCCTCACAGGTAAAAGCTTTAACAACGGTATTTCCGCCAAGCCCACCATTTTTCTCCCTTCTGTGACTGAAACAAATCTCTATAAGGCTGGGACATATCTTTGTCTTCTGGAGAATTTTTTCCCTGATGTTATTAAAGTATATTGGAAGAGAACAGATGACAATAAGATTCTGGAATCCCAGCAGGGAGATACCATGAAAACTAACAACACCTACATGAAGTTTAGCTGGTTAACTGTAACTACAGATTTTATGACTAAAGAGCACAAATGTATAGTCAAACACGAGGCTAATGGAGGAGTTGATCAAGAGATCCTCTTTGATCCCATAAAAGAAGGTATGTGTAAATCAGCACACATACTATATAACCTTCCAGAAAATTACTTTACTTATTCTGTCATGAAATAATGAAAAGCACTGTACATTTTTCTAGAATGCTACTTTATTTATTGGTAACCCAACTACTCTGTTATTTTCCTGTAGAATCACAAAGGAGTCTTTAGGGGAAAAAAGTTGAAAAATTTATTGAAACAGTTTCAATTTCATCATTCAAAATATTAAGATATGACATTTCTCAGAATTGTTAAACGGATTCAATGAACAACATGTGAAAACACATGTTAAGTCTAACGTGGCAATGCTATCCTTGATGTCTTTGGTGGAGAAATAAGAACAATTATGTATCTTTCACGAATGTTCTACCAAGCAAACAAAGTCACTCACTTCAATCTTGTGCTAAAAAATTAATCCTACAAAAAATGAGTTCTTAACAAAGATTTCAGATGAAAGAGTAAGAGCCTGGCTCAGTAAAGAATAGAGTAACACTGGCCACTGTATTCCATGGCAACCTTGAGATTTTCTGATTTTTACTTTACATATCACTGGCAGACAAGAAAATCATAATTAAAAGACTGGGTGAAGCTGACCTGTACAAGCACGCCTGCACTCTCCATGACGAATGTATTTTTTGCCATTGGCAAATGCTGCTCAAGAAATGTTTACTGGACTATTCGTGCATGAAGAGTAAACACTTTTTCCGAATCTCTCAGTGTCACTCATGATGCAGGCATGATGTCTCAAAGCAATCCCTTTGATACGATGAGGTACATGTCTACATAGCTGGCATAGGGCCTAGGGAGCTCTAGTAATGTGCTGTGTGTCAGAGTCCTGAGTGTTAATCAAGGTACAAAGGTCTCAAGCAGACTGAGAAAGAATCATTTTGTACCTTTCTGTTATGGTTGATACATTGTGTCAACTTGGGAAGTCTAGAGGTTTGGCTATAGTGACTCAGCAGTTCTACATCCTGGGGTGCAAAGGATATGCCCTTCCTGCTCTAGGATGTTGTTCATTGTGTCAGTGTGAGAAGTTTAGAAGGTTAACTATGTGAGTGCTGCCCCCCTGGGTGGGGGTAGCCTTCTTAACAATGTAAGGGACAGAAAGAGGCTGTTTACTATCATTCTCCCTTTGCTCTTGTTGCTTTGCTGTCTTCTGCCTCGGAGCCAACCAAGTATGGACTGAAACCTCCACAAACTGTAAGCTAAATAAACCTTTCCTTCCTTAATTTTGGGCGTTGGGTATTTTGTCTCAGCAACCAGAGAAAAGTAACCAAGACACTTTCCCTACTGATAACCAGCCCCTTTAACCTGTGAAAAACACACAGATTACAAAATGTGTGAAGCCTGTGCTAGGCACCATCCTGATTCCCCAAATGAGGTTTTGTCCTTTGGAATCCTTAGTTTCTACAAGGGTCAAGGAGATTTGAACAGTTAGTTGAGAACAGGCACGATTTGGAATGATATGGCTGCTTTTCTTTCGGATTGTCTTGGACAATATACTTCCTTGAGGTAAAAAAGAAAAAAATGTGTCTTACTTGAACTTCTAAGATATGAACCATCTGTACTGAGTTACATGGAAGAAGACCAATAATTTCTGTAATTGTGGCACTCAGATTTTTGTACCTTTCCTATTTCTTTATGAATTGATTTATATTTATTCATGGTGCAAATATATCTGTATGCAAATATATATCTAAAACATATTCATTTATATATTTACATATGCATATGAATATATATAGCCATAAATTCATACCGGTTAAAATATGGGCATGCATAATTGACAAGTTCTTAATCTCATTTGTTTTTAGTTGTCACTACTGATTCTGAAGTTTGTTTCAAACATGAAACTGGTAAGTTTTAGTGTATGTTTACCTTCACCTCATGATTTTTTTCTCTCTTTGATCATCCTCACTTTTGAGCTGCCTTGGCATCAGTTAGAAAAATTAGACTGGCTAGACGTTGCAGAATAGACAGAGTGAGTGATATTTTAAATTCATGTATTACCTCCTAGCCATCATGTTAACATGGTAAACTACTGGTTTACATGTAGGATGACTTCAGTTAGAGGGCTCATTGGTGTACTCTGAACTATTTCAACAAAAGGACTTTATTCACTTGTCTCTTGCTTCTAATAACTGGGAAAAGTATGATACCAAGTTAATTCTAAACCTTTAAAAAAATCTTCCAGCTGGTTACTAGTGATAAGCACTGCCATTTCCTTTTTTTTTTTTTTTTTTTTTGGAAATGAAGGCCTTGAGTTCATGCATTTTCATGTTTAATTCTCAAAGTGCTCCTGTCACATGGAACAATACTATCATTTTATAGATGAAGATAAGGAACTACAATTAAGTCTTTCACACATGTGAACATAGCCACATCTGGAGTTGCACCTCAGGCCCTCAAGTGAAAAGTTCGTATCCTCATTCATGCTAAGTTCTTCCTCTATGATGGAGTGATGGAGCAAGAAACTCCAAGACCAAGGCCTAGAGACAGGGTGGACATGTAGTTGGTGGGAAATGTACTGCTTCTGAGCATCAGAGACTAGATGCAGCCCAGGTCCTCAGTGGTCAAATGCAGGAACATGAGTGACAGATTCATTTGTAATACTTTGCTCACCTGCCAACCAAGAAGAATTACACTGAACTCAGGTTATTGAAGATACAAGGACACAGATGAGAAACTTCTAGCATAGGGATTCATTTAGCAGGCTCAGGTCCAGTAAATTTCTGGTCCTCCCTGTCTACATATGTACCAAGAACATGAGTTCAAGCATTAGTTCCACTTTGCTGACCTGTCCTCTGTATCCAGTGTCAATAGCTGCTGCAGCAGGGAAGGGTGGTATGTAACCCTTACCTGACCAAGGGCAGAGAGTTAGGAACACATTTCCTGAGACTGCTTTGTACCTCATGGGCTTGTGATTCTTGAGTTCTGACTATGAAGACAGACCACGTAAAATGGAAATTTCTCTAGGAAGAGACTTGGTCTTGTGACACTGTGGAGCCACTGCAGCCTGCTGTCACTGTCATTGGTTATGACTGACATCACATATTTCTTATACAATCTCAATAGGTGACAAGTGCTGTTACCTAGTAACATGACAGTTACAAACAGAAACATGCAGAAAGGACAGGCAAGTGTTTCCCAATCAAGAAACATCTCAAGGGATCTGGAATAGCCACTTTCTTCCATCTCTGTAGTTCTCTTTTCTGTAATCTCCGCCCACCTGGCTGGGAATACCACATTTCCATGGACTGTACCTTCCTACTTATTGTGCTGCAAGCACAATCTATAAGGGCTCAGATGCTTCTAAGTCAGCAACAGAACTTTATATTTATACTTAAACTTTGGATGTCTAGGGTGTTTATTACAATTAGAAATGCAAAATCATAGAGTAGATAATATGTTCTTTAAAGTCATATTGGTGGATGAAATTCTCAGGCTGTTACTAAAACGCGTAACATCAAATTACTATGTCCTCAGTTTGTTTGCAAAAAAGCTATGAAAACAGCTTCCCCTCCTCTTCCACAGGTTGCTACAACATTAAATAAGGTTTTCCATGCAAAGATTTCAAAGCAATGTTTGGTATCTTGTTAGTGTTTAGTGAATATTACTTGTTATTACTTAGAGGCATGGTGAGGACAGAGAAATCTTACTAATTATCCCAAATATTTTCCTCTGTTGGACTACTTTTATTTTTTTGTTGGTGGTTTTTTTTTTCGTTACCGGGAATTGAACTCACGACCTTCTGCTTACCAGGCAGGCGCTGTGCTGCTGAGCTAAATCCCCAGCCCCTGGACTACTTTATTAAAAATGAACCTGATATTTAATATTGAGAAGGTTCTAAGTGAATTTACCAAGGCTGTTAACCGAGTTGAGTTGCAAGCTGAATCTCATCCTTGGTGATCCTGGTTGAAGTGGTGGACGCTGACCTTTAGTTTTGGGTGTGGTGGGTGGCGTCATTTCGGTGTAGGTCATCAGAAACCAATGCCTGTGACAGCTCCTGTGCTGTCACACGCGCAGCTGAAACTCATGACAGTACTTCTTGTAGGTTTGCTACCCCTGCAGCTCACCGGCACCTCTGCCTACTACACCTACCTCCCGTTGCTGTTCAAGAGCGCCATCCACGGGGCCCTGGTCACCTTCTGCCTGCTTAGAGGGTCCTCGGTCTGCTGTGATGGGAAGAGGGCCTGACGAACGGAGGCGGAAGTGTCTCCAACGTTTCCAGTTCCCAGCAGCACCTGCTGAGGGTCTGGCCGGCTTGCATAGCTTGGCCTCCTGAAGTACACTTGCCCATCATTTTGTGGTTATCATCACCAGCGCGCAAACGCCGCGACTTTCCGCTGCCCCAAGATGCAGCCCGCACCGCCTGAGCCGCGTCTCCCCATGACCTCCACAGCCCCTCCAGCCAGCCAGGCCCTCGCACCCTCGATGTGCACTGCTCCTGCTTCTGGTCGGGGCTCCGCAACCATGCACCGCGGCACTCCGGAAGCCTCCGCTCTACCCACCCAGACAACGGCCTTGTTTGCCATTGAACTGCGCTGTTTTTCATAGTAGACACAATGCATTAAAAACGTCATCACAATTCCTTGGGTCGTGTTCAATTTGATGAAACTGAATTGACAAAGAGGGTGTGGGGAGGGGGCGCGTGGGAAGCACGCGCGGGGAGCATGCGCGTTGGGCGGGGGCGCGCTTGGCCGTTGGAACCCCCTTCCGTCCCCCGTAACGGCGGCCGTAACGGCGGCGGGCGAGTCGCAAGGCTGCGCGGGAGTCACCCACAGCCTCGGAACACGGACTGTGAGGAAATGGCCGAGCGCAGGAGGAAGAAGCGCGCTGAGGCGCAGCCGGAGCAGCCGGAGCAGCCCCAGACCCCCCGCCCCAGTCCTGGGGAACCCGAACCAGAGAAGCAGCCGCTCATGGAGGAGGCCCCTGGGATCCCGCCCGGCCGTGCGTGGCTCCTGTTCTTGATCCTGGTGCGGCTCTGTGAGAAGGCGCGCATCCTGCAGACGCCCCGGACCCGCCGCAGCACCGCGCTGGGCCTGGGTGAGCGGTGGGAGGGCGCGGGCCTGCAGGGGGCGCTGCTCCTGGATGGCGATGGGGACCGGGCTCGGGGAGCGGCGGGAGCGGCGGGCCTGCAGGGGGCTCTGCTCCTGGTCGGAGGTGGGACGCGGCCTGCGCTGGATGAGCTGAGGCCTAATGCAGAATCCCAGACTCAGCGCTCAGCCCGGTCAGAAAAAGTTACGTTAGGACAGCCAGCATCAGTTTGTAAAAATCACTGGCTGCCTCTCACGAACAGACATTATGTTGCTCGGCATTTAAAACAGACAGTATGCTCCTAGGTATTGATACCCATTTGCTTCCCCATCTTGCTGTGGAATTTGGATATCTAAAATTGTAGGCCTTTTAAAATGTAAGCATTGGAAAGTTTTTCTTTCTCCGTTGATAGCCCTCGTTTTTTGTAGCATGAGATTGAAAAATGTTGCTGTCTCAGTGAAACCAGTTGTTTCAAAACAGTTGTTCCAAGCTAGGCCCTTGGTCAGGCGGCTGCTGGTATGAACGGAGCTGTGGATGGATGTCTCTCCATGCAAGTTACTGTCCCTGGTGTCCACCGTGTGTTCGCTGGCTGGTGTCGTGGTATGAGGAGTCCCCACATGTGGCATGGTGACAGTGCATAAGGAGTCGCGTGTAGATTTTACGAGCTGTGTAACTGTGTCCACAGACACATCCCACAGACAGAATCAACAGGGCTTGGAAATCACTGTCCCCAATCCACGCTTCAACACGCTGGGGTCCGTCACATGGAAGATATCTGACGAGTGTTGTAGAGCAGTGACTGAGCACGGCAGTGTTTCCCGAACTCCGAACAGGGAATTCATACTTAGGGGTGTGAGTGCAGCAAAACCAGCAAAGACTTTCAGGAAAAGGTGGGATTTGAATTGTGAGAAAGCACTAAGCTTTGACTGTATGGAACTGGTGCCATCAAGTCTTATGGGCTGGCAGGATGGAAGTCACCAACATCCCACCATAGGAGTGCAGTCAGGCAGCAGTGAAGTTCCTGAAAGAGGAAGAAGTAGGAAGCGGGTTAAAATGTTGTTTGGGACCAGTCCCGGAGAGCCTAATTCATGGCTGGATGCAGGGCATTTGAACCTCTTTCTGTAGGAAGTATTGATTAGGTCTTCTTTTTAAAATCATGTTTTTGTTGAGATGAAATCACCTAAACCTCTTTAAATTCAGTGGCATTTAGTACGCTGAATTTTTAAATAGAGCAACTCAACCAGAAGTGTGGTTCACAGGCGGCAGTGCATAGGTGGACTGGAGATTGACTGAGAAAGGAGAGAGGAAAACATGACTGGAAAACCACTACTAGAATCCAGGCTGCCCTGGGGTAAAGGAGGGTGGTAACAGTAGGGATGGAGAGGAAGGGATGGGTGAGAGCTGATGAAGATAGATTGAAAGGACTAGAGGGATGGTGAGGTAGATGAAGAAAAGAAGGGAAGAGAAAGGATGAGAAAGGTCATCCTGGAATGAGGATTATGGATTTGGAAATTATCTTTGTAAAAGTGGAATGAAACTTTAAGACTGGAGGAGATTGTTAAGGGATACCAATGTGGAGAGAGAAAAAAATGTACTTTGTTAATTATACTTTGGGAAAACTTTAAGAGCTAAAAGGAAAGAAAAACCAGATTGTGTGTAATATGTGCTTAGAAAAATAAAGCTAGGAAAGTTGACATGACAAATGATTAGAGAGAAAAATACAAATATCTGATAAATACTATAGGAATGTCGAACAGCTTAAAAATTGAGGGAGACTATTGATTTTTATGACAAAAGTGTTATTGGTCATCTAAGAAAGTTATAGAACCTTATAAGAAATAGGTCAACAATTATGTCAGAGAATGGCTCAGGGGAAGTGTTTTTGGTGCCAGGGAAAGGAAATTTTTGAGGATCATTGAGAAGACGAATGGATTTGGTAGCATAATGATCTTTTCTATTTCTTTTAAATATCATGTGTAAGAATTTTGCCCGTAATTCTCAGAAAGAAGTACTGTGTACTAGCATGGTTGAGTGAGACAGTTTTTGGTACTACATTTCTTACAATTAATGAAACCTTAGAAGAGACACAGCTGTTTGGAGTTTAGAGAGTTTAATTTTAATTTCAAAGTGGTTCAGAGTGTATTAGATAGAAAGTGTCATCCTAGGGCTGAGAGCACTTGCCTAGCATGCATCAGACCATGAGGTGCCAGCATCACCAAAATAATTTTTTTTTTTGAAGATCCAGTGAATAAACCATTTAAGTTTGCAAGCCACATTCATTTTTTTCCATCTTCCCTTTTTAATCTATTGTCATAACTTTTTAAGAGCATTAAAGTCCATTTTTAGCTTACAGGCAGTGGAATAACAGACAGTAGACTATAGTTTGCCCATCCTGATATAAAACAAGACATATAATAGGTAAAGCTTCTGAGAAGTGTTTGAAGTGAGCTCAGAGTAAGAAGTCATATGGGGAAAGAGCTGGAGACACATGATTGGGAATGTCAGCACTGTGATTTTTAATTGAGTTTGCATTTTATTTTGTTAGCCAAGCTGAATAATTTTGGAATTATTTAAAAGATTAAAGACTATAGTTTGTAAGATGAGACAACCAAAAGAAATATCATCACAAAAACTTGGAGGGAAACAAGACTTCATAAATAGTTAAGTAAATGCATTTCTCCATGACAGTGAGGAGAGGATACATGGAAAATTATCAAAATCAATGCCTTCAAAACTCTGGAAATTAACCCAAAGCTTACAGCAAGCTAAAGAGCATTAATTCATGAAAAAATGTGGAACCTTTGTAAGTTTGTGATGTTTTAAAAACTTGTTCCACCTCCATTTCCTCTCCTCTGCCCCATGCTATCCTTGGAAACAAGTAGCTTTCTAGTGACAGAAGTGTCCACCGAGCATGCAGCTCTTCATTAAACCCCTCACCGAGGGCAGTGTCCCTGTGGATCTGTCTCAAGGTTCCGTACAGCCTCGGGCACTGGGCTTGTGCTGGGCCACCTCGGTGCCAGGGTCCAGGAGCTCAGGAGAGCTGACAGTTCCTCAGGGCTGGAGGTGCAGGCGGGCTCTCAGGTGCGCTGCTGAGGAGGAGCTTTAACCATCTCCTGATGAGCATGAGGGCCAGGGTTCTAGAGTGGCCTCTGTGGGCTAGCAGTTTTGCTAAAAGAATCTCACTGAGAGTAATTTCTATATCTGTTTCTCCTGAAAAATTTATACAAAGGAATAGAGAATAAGAGACAATAGAGAATAACAAGAAAAAAAAAAAACCACAGCGAGATCAAAGTCATCCCTTTCATCACTGTTTCACAGATGACCTCAGAGGGAGGTACAAACCTTCCCAGCCTCTCCCTTGCCCATGTCTAGTCCCCCGTAGCATGAGGAGAGGTTAGCAGGATTCACAGTCTGCTGCAGGCCCTGGAGTTGTCCGTGTGCTCCTAGAACAGAAGCAGTTGGCCACCTGGCCTTGTGTGTGCTCTCTCTAGACATGGAAGCAAGTGCATTTGAAATGCTTCATTTAGGGGCTGGGGATTTAGCTCAGCAGCAAAAGCGCCTGCCTGGCAAGCACAAGGTTGTGAGTTCGGTTCCCGGTACCGGAGAAAAACCAAAAAAAAAAAAAAAAAAAAAAAAGAAATGCTTCGTTTAAAGGAGTTTATAAAAAACCTTCTAATGACTTTTTTTTTCTTTTTCCAGCTGCCTTTCTGGGATTTTTACATTGGTAAGATTTAGTTTCTGTTTGAAATAAAAAACAATTGTGTTAAAAATTTCCACAACAGTACATAGTAAAACAGTTCCTGACTAGGTATATAAAATATATCTATGTATACTAGTGTACACATGTATTACTGCCTATTGCACAAATCTTGTGTGAAGTAGCATTTACAAAATAGATGTATTAGGGAAATAATAAGTTATGAATTAAAATACTTTTGCTTTTCCAAAGAACTTGCCACTGTATTTCTTGAAATGTCTACTTTTCCTAGTATATTTTGTAGTTTTCTTAATCATTTCTTCATTTTATAGTAACTGTGTTAGTGACATAAGTATAAAGCTTTTGGCAAGCTGGCCAGTTGGAAAACAATAGCAGTGAACAAATGTTCCTTCTTGCTGCGGTGAAGCAGAATTGAATAACTCTGAGCCTTCAGTGGGTAGACATAGGCACTTTATTTTATAGAAGTGATTATTTCTAATAGTTGTGTGGAAAGTGAGGACATTTTCCGCCTCGAATGCTCTCATGTCCCCTGAGCTCTGGGGCTTCTACTCCTGGGAACGGTGGAGTCTGCCCACATTCTGCTGGCACAGTGCTGCTGTGTCCTGTGGGCCTGCAGGGAGCTCTGGGCGTCAGCACTAAGGCTGGGATGGTAGGCGGCAGGGCGCTGAGAGCTGTAGGTACACATGGACCACATGGAAATAGTGGGTGGGGAACCAGAGTTTTGCTTGCTTTTCCACTTCATTAAAAAGCACTACATAAATTAAACGTAGCATAAGTGCTGACTGTAACTAATTTCTTTGTCACATACGAGCCTTTTGTCACTGCCTGTTCCTGTCGAGTTGCATGCTAAAATATTTTCCAGCTAGTTCTGTGTTCTTTGGCATTTCAAGTTGATCCTTTAAGTGATGTTACCTTTATTTAAAAACTGATTTAATATAGAGTGATTTTATTTAAAATTATATTCTGAGCACTTTTCAACAATTACACAGGCATGTCTCAAATCTGGTACGTTTGAATCACTTGTTAAACAAAAACCTGCCTTTGTTCTCATTTAGAGGCATGAGGTAGAAGGAAGAGAGGGGAGAGCTACAGGGATTTTAGATTTACATGCAAATAAGGTTCAGAACAGGGTTAAGGAATTTCACTTGTGTGCTGCCCTGGATTATATATGCCCCCAAACGTGTATAGCATTGACTCAATATTTATTATTAAGAAATATTTTTCCTTTCCATAACTTTTCTACTTTGCTTATCTGTGACTTTGCAGTACTGATTTAGAAATCTGTTATTATAATCTTATAATAATTATATAATGTAATTATATAATAATCATATAATATAATCTTATAATAAAATCATAATATGTTATTTATAATTGTATAATATAAATGTAATCATTTATATTATAGATATAATCTTATTTTCTAGGATACATTTAACAACACTTTTTGAGAATGATCGCCATTTTTCTCATCTCTCAACTTTGGAGCGGGAGATATCATTTCGCGATGAAACGGTTAGTTCTTTCTTCTGAGGAGTTAATTTGTGTATTAAGAAGAGTAAGACTGTGAAGTAGAAATTTGTTAGAAACAGAAGTGGATTTCCAGTGACTGGTGTTTCACATTTCTCCTTTGTGTCTATATGAATCTTCTAGAATACTAGGTACTTCAGCTGCTGCTTTTTATTTATATCAGTATAATCCCTGCAATGATTTGATGACCTGGATATGCTAATGTATAGCATTTAAATATTTTAAAGGTATTATTTCCATAGGACATAAAGTGTTATTAAGTAAAGAGGATAGCTGTGGCAGTTCGGGCCTTCTGGGTGACAGATCCCTGAGTCCAGATAACAGTCCGAGGATTCTTTGTACTATGTAGGCTGGTAAGTTACCTGTCTGATTCTGAGTCATCTCATTGGTCAGTCAGAAATAATGCCCACCATACAGGTTTCAGAGAAAATGAAGGGAGATAATGAACAGAGACTCAAATCACAGTACCTGGCACAAAACAGTCTTATTACTAATAACAACTTACATGGTGTGATTGAAATATATGGTGAATGCTTAAGTTTTTAAAAAACGTATGACAGTATGTGTTAGTCCCCTTTCTCTTAAAGGAGGGGAGGTTTATTGTGGCTCATGTTTTCAGCCTTAGTCCACTGGCTGAAAGGCGGGATGGCATGGTAGAGGGACCTGGCAGGGGAAAAGCTGTTTACATCTTAGGGAATAGGAAGTAGGGAGAACCGGAAGGAAATAGAACCTTCCAGGTCATGGCCGCAGTGACTGCCTTTTCCCAGCAGGCCCCACTCCCTAACAGCACATCAGTACAATGCCCCCAGTCACCTTCCAAACACGTGAGGCTTCTAGGGCCATTTTAGATCTAAAGTATACCATAGAGAAAGACATATTGCCACTAACCCCCCTCAAAATATTCCCCCTAGCGTCACTTAACATACTTACCCCATCACTCCTGCCACTCTCTGTAGTAGTTCTGGAAGTCCTCTTTTATGAGTGCCTTTAGTTGTGCAGTCTTGGCTACCTTGATATCTGAATCAATTCAGTACTTCTACATTTCTGTCAAATAAAAACATTATAGTGTGTCTTCATCCACCTTATTCACCGGATCTGGCACCTGTGACTTCTGGCTGTTCTCCAAAGTCAAATGACCATGAGAGTTGAACATTTTGAATGGATTCAGGACATGAAGGTGGACACAAAGAGGGCTTCTAGAACTGTTCCGGAAAGTGGCAACAGTGCTGGGATAAGTATGTTTGTTGTGAGAGTGAGTATTTTGAGGGGCATTCATGGCAGTGTATGTCTTATTATAATGATTTTTTTGTTTTGTTTTGTTTTTTTGTTTTTTGTTTTTCTTCTGGTACCAGGAATCAAACTCACAACCTTGTGATTGCCAGGCAGGCGCTTTGCCACTGAGCTAAATCCCCAGCCCCTATAATGATTTTTAAAAGTTTAACATTCACTGTATTTTTGGATCACACCTCATATTTAGGCATTTACTATTTCCCTGTGTACAGGTTTAGGTATATTGATAACTAAAGATATCTAAAGATATTCAAGATATCTAAAGATATTCAAGATAGCGTTCATTTTGTTGAAAGCTGTCATTAGATTTCTTCAGATTTTTGTAATGCCTGCTTGTATCGCCTAAGGAAACTTCTGTGACTTCATATTTTGTCAGTCAGAGCTGTGAGATAGACACCAGTTCAAACAGCTTCAGTTTGGAAGCTACTGGTGTTGCTTAGCCTATCAAAAATAAAAACGTGGACTTCCAGTTCACAGGATCTGCTTGCAGCTTGTGAACTTGGGAATTTCTCTGAAGATGGGCTCTGAAGAGAGAAAACAATGCCTCAGGAGAGCTCAACAGACTTAAAGTATTCTCACAGTAGAGTGTGGTGTTTTAATGAGAGATGTTCAGGATCGCAGCGGGTGGCTTCCTAGCACTGCCAGGAGCAAATTCAAAGTGGGGTGAAAGATGGAAAAGATGACATGAAAATGGAGATGGACACATAGAAAATTAGAAAACTCTTGCAGACCACCGGGAACAGAATCCAGGACAGGATGGATGCGCCCCCGGCAGAGACAGGGCTATGGCAAATGAAAGGGAAGAGAAGGTGGTAGGCCAGGTACTGGCACCCTCAGGGGCCCGCATCCATCCCCAGCACCGAGGGGAAAAAATAGAAGGGCAAAAGCAAACAAAAGCAAACACAAAAATCTTGGCTTTGTAGATTCTTAAAAATGAAAAATGTCGCATGGGACAGGTGCATACATTGGCTTCAGCTCCCACTAAATGAAAAAATATTTGTTTTCATATTTTAACTTGGCATTTTTCTTTAATTCAAAATAACTCAGTTTGGGAAGATGAACAAAATATTTTCTTTGATGAATGGAGGTGATACTGAATGCTGCCCAATGCCAGGTATTAATCAGACACCAGGATCCTGTCCAGAATGATTGTGGTTGTACTGTTTGTGCATACAACTTTGTGACTGCAGTCAGTAGAGACGAATGACGTATTGACAAAACTGAGTGATCTGAGGTTTTTAAAAAGCTTTCCTGTAAAAATGCCATTTAAAAATGTAACATCAGTGGATCTTATAAATATATAGTACTTTTTGGAATTTTGATTTTGTATAATTCAGGATAAAAAGTACTTTGTAAAATATAAAATAGTGAAATAAAACTAGAATAAGTGTAGAGTTAGTGTGTATCATTTTTAATTTTTGGAAAGAGGAGAGTGTCAGTTTGACCGTTTTAAGTAGTTTGACCCTTTAATTGCTTGTATAAATGGTGTGTCCCCTTGTTTTTTTATCTTATTTGAAAATGTCAGAGTAATGAAGGAAATAATATGAAACAACCTGCTTTTTAAAAATCCTCGAGGTTTGCCTTTAATGATGTAAACATTAAATGTCATCAACAAGAGCTAAAGTAATAATATTAACAAGAATGACAGTGGGAAGAGGGGAATTAGAGGAAGGGGAGGGGAAGGGGTGAGGAAAGGGAATTATAAAAAAGAATCAAGAATAAAGCTGTATTATGTACATTTACCCACTCACCAGATGGTTGTAAACTGCGTGTATTGCAAACATACTAATTTTAAAAAATGGGGAAAAATCCTTGTGTTTTAAATCAGGCGCACTTGCCGGGCATGGTGGCACACGCCTATAATCCCAGCACTTGGGAGGCTGAGGCAGGAGGATCATTGCGAGTTCGAGATCAGCCTGGGCTACAAAATCAGTGTAAGACCAGTCTGAGCTGCATAGCGAGACCCTGTCTCAAAAAAAAAAAAAAGAAAAAAGAAAAAGGCAAACTTCTGTGACTTAATGAAGTCATGATTTGTACAGTGGAGTGAGTCACTAAGATTGCCCCCTTTCCAGATCACCTCTGTGGGCAACAAGAGCCCACCATTCCTTTGTGCAAGAGGCAGACACGGGGCTGTAAAGTAAGACAGGAGCAAGAAGTTCTCTTCCCACAGTATGCTGATGATCATGATATGATCTTAAGAGTATGAGGAAAAAGGAGTAACTGTATGCAGAATTGTACAGGGTCATGAAGGCATCCTTATTTATAATAGAATTTATAACACAGCACATTTCAAGTTCAGGGGTAAAATCACTTTTGCTAAAATCAAAATTATATTGTATGCATATTTTAAGTCACAGTTAGAAAAGCTAGTGAGGTGTGGTGGCGCAGACTTGTAATCTTTGCACTTGGGAAGCTTAGCCAGGAGGATCGCCACAAGTTTGAAACCAGCCTGTCTCAAAACTTGAAAATAACAAAGAAAGAAAAAGGGGAAATAAATGCTTGTTAAAACATTTGATCATCCTCAAACTCTTTAGTCTGAAAATTTTCAGTTTACAGAAGAATTGAAGGAATAGTTACAGTCTGAAAACACACGATTTCTTAGTCCACTAATGCAAATGGAGGAGTACTTAGTAATTCTTATTATTGACTTTAACTCTTTTTTTCAGAAAAAATATATTCTAAAATGTTTTTAAAAATATTTTTTACTCAGCAGTACAGTAGGTTGAAATTGTAACTTGTAGGAAAAATGGATAGAATTAGAAACCATCATGGTAACTGAAATTAGCCAGAGAAAGTTAAATATCACGTTTTGTGTTATTTGAGGAATGAAATGGGTGATTAAAAATAAAATAAAGAAGGAGAGATGGCGGGAAGCTAGAAGGAAGACTTCAGGAGATTGAGAGGGGTGTCACTGAGAGGGGGACAGACGGGGAAAGGGGCTGGGTAGGGTTGAAAATGATCAAGGGTGTTAAGTGCATGTACAGATCTCCCCAAACAACCCCACCATTCTGTACTATTGACAGGCACTCATAAAGAAGTTTAAAATGGAATAAAATATTTTAAAGTTTTATTTATATTTACCATCTATGCCTTTTATTTTTTTTTATAAAGGCACTTTATTATTCTTACTTCAAGACCCTTATTGAAGCGCCTTCGTTTTTGGAAGGCCTGTGGATGATTATGAATGACAGACTCACTGAATATCCCCTGGTCATTAATACAGTGAAACGGTTCCATCTTTATCCAGAGGTGAGTGAGACTTGAGACAAATAATACTTGCCGTGTGATTCTTAATGAGATAAAAATTCTGACCTTGTAGGGTGATTGATTATCGATGTTCTTATAGTTGAATAGAGCATTAGTTCCTTTCTGAATATATAAACATTCATGTCAACCCAAAGAATAAATGCTAGTATAGGAGACATGACCCGATAATAAACCAGCCAAATACGAAAGGAAATCATGAGCGCTAGAGAGGATTCTCCATGCCTCTGTGGGCCTTGGATACCATGTGGGTGGGCACGGTGACCACGTGAAGGGCCAGCGAAAGTGATGAGCAGGACGGTGCCCTTGCAGGGACAGTTACATTAGTGAATGGAGGCTTAAGGGGCTGGAGGTGTAGCACCAGAAATAGCTGGATACCTTCTAGTACTTGGCCTTAAAATTCAGTATGGCTTTATTGGAAATCTGCAAATTCTACTTGAAAAACAGCAACAAGGGATTAGTAAACTCCATTTGTTGATGCTTAAGATAGATACTAAAACTGTCATGGTAGACAATTTACTTTCAAGTTATCTAAGAGTGTGGCAGATGAAGTGAAAGTTACTTAATTTTAAGAGTCATATTTTATAGGCTTAAAATTATTATTTAGCTCTTGAAATATTTTAGATTATAGAAACTTAGAGAATAATACTCAGTATATTTGATCAGCCACCTAGACTAGAATGAGAAAATGCTTATCTTTTGGTGTTTTGGGCCCAGATTTTTAAAACAATTTACATATTTATGTAATACCAAAGTCACCTTTACTTCCAGACCATTTGCTTCTCTCTTCTTCCCACAAGATCCCTTATCGTACATATGTGTGGATTCATCTGATCCATTCCAAGTGTGCTTTTATGTGTTTTTGAGTCCCCGTAAATGCTCTCATGCTGAATATACCTCTCTACAACCTTTTCCTCAGCATTACTTATATTTTTAAACTCTGTGTATGTATGGATATTTATTTCTTTAATTTCAACTATTTAATAAATTTCAAATTTTATTTCTACATTTCCCTATTAGTAGACACCAAGTTATTTCTAATCTTCCTGTTACCTGCAGTTCTGAATGCAGGCTCCTGTAGGTTTTTCCTTCTATGCATGGGCAGGATTTTCTCTAGGCCACGTACACAGAGGTACAGTTGTGGTGTTGTATCCTGAGGAGACTTTTGCAGATTCTTTTGGATTTTTCTCTTGTATATGATAATGTTGCTCATAAATAAAGGCAGCTTTACTTCTTAGTGTCCAACCCATGTACTTGAAAACACCTCAAAACAGCTTTATTGAGCTATAATTGGCTTACCATAGCTGGTCACATATGAAGTATACAGTTTGATGTGATTTGGCCCAAGCATCCACCCAGGAAGGCATATGCAGTCCAGACATGGTCTGGTACATCATGCCAGGAGTTCCCCTGTGCTCCATGGTAATCTGTTCTTGCTCCTCTCCTCTGCCCGCATTCTGTCCCCGGGAAATCACCCGTGTGCTGTCTGTCACTGTAGTTCTATTCACATTTTGTAGAATTTTATCCAAATAGAATCATTGAGTTGTTCTGTGCCTGGTCTTACTTTTACAGTTGACTGAATAGTGGCACAGACGGTCAGACGTTACTCATTTTCCCTGGGGAAGGGAACAGACTGTGCCACTGGGGCCACCAGCGAGATACCAGTTTGGCCAGACAGAAGCAAGACCAAGGGGAGAGCCTAGGCCAGAGCTCTTGTTGGAGGTCTATGGGATAGGCAGAGCAGGGCAGAGTAAGAAACCCGTCAGCAGAATCAGAAGACAACTGGAAAACAGGGAGAAAATACTTGTCATACATGTCACAGAAGGAGGGCTGGTCTCTGCAATGCAAAAGAGCTATGTGTTCTGGTTTGGAGATGAAGAGAGCTGGAAAAAGCGACACTTTCATCACTGCCACAAGAAAACAACCGGACAGACTCTTAAACTAATGCACTTTCTTGAACTCATCAGAAAACTGAGCTCACAGAACAAACACTCAACACAAAATTCTAAGAGGGATGGGTGCCTGGAGAGAGAAATTGGGTGTAAGCCCTCAATAAACAGGGATAGATGCTGCCAGATGATATATTAACCAGCAGGAAGACTAAACTAGAAAAATTTTAATGCACTACTAAAGGCTCAGTGTGAGGTAGTGTTAGGTGCAAAGGCCCGGGGGTCACAGGATTTCCTGGGGAAGAAGGGGAAAGTATAGAGAATGTTTTCCCTGTGCCTGTGAGGGAGGGAACAACAGCACCATCCATACCCCTTCAAACTCATGTCCCCAGTCTCCTCTAATTAAAAAATGTCATGATCTGTGGGGAGAAAGTATCAAAGCTATAGCTTCAGGACATTGGTGAGTACTCAGCACAGCTGGTAGAACAGGTAGAAAAAGAATAAATTTAAAAAGCAACTGTGTTCCAAGACAAGGGCTAGGACCACCTATGAGGTTACACCTGCAAGACCCTAGTTCACTGTACCCACCTAAGACAAAAACCTGTCACCCCCACCCCAACTCTGTATTAATGAACTGTGAATGAAAATATCACAGTGGAATAGGGCTGGGTGAGGTTTTGACTTTTGGTGCCAGGCACATGCTCTACCACTGAGGTATACCCTGGTCCATATTGGGTGGCTTACAAAGAACAGTTTCTTTCTTTCTACAGAGCAACAATAGGCAAAACTCAAAACCCAGCTGAAGACATTGTACCATGACAGTAATTTGAGATCACTGGTGTTGATAGCAACAGCAGACTCCAATTTGGGGAATCATAGCAACAACAGGCTTCAAACCCAGCCCGTCTCCTGGACTAGTTGGATACAAACCCCCAGATTAAAGGCTTAGCTGAAGGAAAGGAAAATTCTAGATGCTGAGAAGTCCAGGGTCAAGGCTCTGGGAGGCTCAGCTGTCTGCTCAGATGGTTGTCTGCTGTCCAGATGACTGCTTGATGTGATGTTGCATTCCCTGGGGACAAGGGGCCGTGTCTTCTGGTGGTAGAAGGGAAGAGGCCTGAACCCTACAAGAAGCCTGTTTTGTAAGAACCTTACTTCCATTCACAGAAAATGAGACTTCAAGTCCCAGCCTCTTAGTGCTGCCACACTGACCACTAAGTTTAACACCTGAGTTTTGCAGGGAGCACATTCAAACCATCGCAGGGCCACTGGTGTTTGTGCATTGTGAGGCTTCTAAACTCCAAATCTGAGAAAATGAGGCAGAAAGGGAAGCTCAGGGCACACATAATCATGTTAGTCTTTGGGCTCTATGTCTGCTTCCTACTGTCCACTTCCCAAGAGCCATCTTATGCTTGTTTTATATATAATACATAGGGTTTTTATTTGTACTTGGGAGGAGTAATAGGGACAAGGATATGTATTCTTGCCCCAAAGGAAATACATTATTTGTGTATTGTCTTTAAATTTTCCTTCTGTTGAAATTATTTTCTAATTCCGCATGTTGTTTTTCTTTGAGTCATTGTGCATTTACAATCACGTTGTTTAATTTTCAAATATTTGGAGGTGCCCCAGATTTGTATCTTTTAAAATGTCACTTGTAATAGTAACAGTTGCACAGTCTGCCTAGAATAATGGAAGTAGTTTCTGCACCAGCTTTCTCTGTATCCTGTGTTACTCGTCAGAGGCATGGTTCTGATCTTATTTCCTCTTATGATTATCTATCTATGATGAATGCAAGAGTAAGACAAAATACCTGTTTCTTATATCTTCAATTTAAGGTAATGTTCACTTTGCAAATATAAAACGGGGACTTGTTCTAGCGTTCAATAATTATTATTTTAAATTTTTGTTTATTTTTTGATTTTTCAATTATATAATAAAATCTTTTTTTGTTCCATTAATTTCTAAAAGGATAGCCTTAGAGGCCTTTACTTTTTACTTATTCAACAATATTTATTTAATAATTAAGAAATATTTTTAGGTTCTTCTGTTACAATGGTTTCTAAAACTTGCCAGGGCTATAAAGAACAGGTGAGAAGGCATTGTTCTGAGTCTTATTTTGACCTTTTGTAAACACAATATGGGGAAGAGCTAGATTTACAGCCAACTCTCAGGTAGTACAACAGTGTCGAGTTGTATATTTGTTCATTTTGTGCTCGCAAGATTAATTTCTCACATGAAGCTGAAAACCTAAGTTTAGAGCAGTGTCTTGAAAAGGTAAAAGTATTTAATGCTTGCCGTGTACCTGCACTTTCTATACAAACCCTTATCTCCCCTCCTTCTTGCACAAGAGGCTTAGGGGCCGAAGGATGAGTAGGAGTCAGAAGAGCTGTGATTGGCAAAGTTCAGAATTTTAGTTCAGATCTGATATGAAAGCCCTGCTTTCCCTGCTGTGTAGGAGCACATCCCAGAGAAACAGAATTCCAGATGTAGTGCACACTGTAGTGCAGTACTTTTGTGTATGTGTGAAGAATACACAAGCAAAGGAACCATGTGATAAATTTCGACAGAATGTTAAGTTGTTAAAAATAAAGTGATAAAATAGCAATTCTATACTTACTGGATGTGCAAAGGTGTTTATGCTCTCATTTAGTGATGCATATTCTATTACTATCTAAAGTATGATCTCAGTATGTCATACGAGTAACTCTAGCTGCATGCTTCAAATGCCCAGGGAGGAGACCAGAAGGACGACTGCCCAAGTGTTAAAGGTGTGAGCTCTGGGTGGTTCTGCTTTCCTTTTCCAGCCCTCCCTCCCTCTTTCCCTCCCTCTTTCCCTCCTTCTTTCTGTTCTTTCTTTCTTTCTTTCTTT